TTTTTTCCTCCACCGTAGGAAAGCTTTCATCTTCTGCAGTAATGGCAATCTCACCGTCATGGGGAGGCATGCACACTACCAAAGGAACAAGGTCAGGTACCCCCCAAAACTGGAAGACACATTAACCATTTTGGTTTATAAATATAGGGGATGTAAATGAAGAAGAGTCGAGTAGCAGGAACCACCGAAATCAGTGAAGGCAGGAGTACGAAGTAAGGTTAAGAAAGCAGAGATTCTGATTGAGGAAGAAGAAGATATGAAAATCCGATTTTTAGAATGCAAAGAGTGAATCGAAGGATTGAGTATCCCCATTTATAAGAGTTAGGGCATAAATATCGAGGAAGCAAACCACAGTTGCCCAGCCCAAAAATCGAAACGACAGAGGCGCGAGAAACGATACAGGGTATTGGAAAAATGCGTAATAATGACGCATGATGACATGACATTACTCTGAAACGACGTGACCCTAGGTTGTGGCTCACGGAAGGCCACGTTTCCTTCCCATCCGAAGCGCTACTACTCGACCTGCTCGCATAAAGCTTCTCAACCCTAACTGACAGAGTCCGCTAATCAAGGTCGCCCAGGGTCGACATCAATAAGCGAATGGACTAACTGTATTGGTCAGAATCTGCCTCAGTGGGATTTAGCATGAAGCGTTATCGTGAAAAATGATATGGTCGAGGTCGATTAGTAGATAACGGGGCTCGTAGCCGAGTAGTCAATAACAATCGAGGTCGAGTATCAAAGGGCAGTGCTAACGACTAGTTTTTGTAATAGAATTTTCAGAAAAATATTCTATTGAATATTCTTGGTGTCTGTACTTTTAGGGTTGACTGGGGAATGTCCCATATAAATAGAGAAAGAGATAAGGGGAGAGAGGGAGATAATATTCTCTGATAAGAACATTCTTGGAAAAACAAACTCTCTCTCTAGATAAAAGACAATTACTACTTTTTTAAAGAGATTCGATTGTCTACTATTCCATATTTTTTTCATTAGATCTGAGAAGGGTCCCAACATTCTAGTATTTGTCTATCATTCATCATTGTCAAAAAGAAGAATTATCCACCTCATTCAATATTGGGTGAATCATTCTCCTTATTTACTTTAATGCCATTTATCATTATTTATTGCTTGATATTCCCCAATCATTAATGATCTTGAAACATTGAATGTACATCACATTTAATCTTCTCTCAACACTGTTCTTACGTTTTTTGTGTTAATCGATTATAGATCAAAAGTTATTATCATTAACTAGATTTAACCCTTCGTCGTACAAAATTAATTAGTTTAATCTAAATTCTACATTTTTTGGTCAAACAATATTTTGGTTCAATTCTCATATATTGTTTCCTTTCCTTTCTTATGTCGTAATTCAATAGGAGAACGTTTTTTAAAAAAATCATCTTTTGTCCGCAATTTCCCTTAGTGGATGCAAAGACGTCAAATAACTAGCAAATTACTGTCTCCGTAGTGGGGCGTCACTTCGTCTAATACCAAAGTGCTGTCTCCTTTCGTGGCAATAAGTTTTTTTTGACTCTTACTCTGTCCCGCAAGTTTTGGACAGGAATGTGGAATATGTATTATTTTTTTCTATTCACAATAAGTAATTTTTTTGACTGTTTTCACACAAATTAAGAAATTTATCTTTTAATATTAATTAGCAATAAATTTGATCATATTAACCTTTACTATCTCTTCACATAAACACTCTTAATACATACTCCAACACTATTTATTTCAAGGGCAATGTAGGAAAAAAGTAATTAATTCATTATTGAAATTTAGAAAAATCAGATATTTTAGGCTACAAAAAAAAAGGCAAAAAAAAATCACTTATTGTGGATCCGAGAAAATACTAGGTAAAGTGTTAAACCAATTGTGCTTTATTCATATATCAAAATAAAAAAGAAAACTATAATGAGACGGTATTTTATCCAAATTTAATTGTACACGTAGTTTAAAAAAATTTAAAAACTTTTGAATGTAAATATATACTTCCGTTTCAGTTTATGTAACCTTAGCTTTTTGCTTTTCGTGGGTCAATTTGAGTAATATTTGAAGCTAGATTGAATCATATTAACTTAATATTTTAAAGTTAAAATTTAAATATTCAAAAACGATACCAAAAATGCTATAAGTTGTAATTCGTGAAAAATATGTTTTAAAATAATAGTCAAATTTACATAGTTTTAATGTTGAAAAGTGAAAAGGTTCACGAACCGAGAAATACATAGTATCAAAATTATCTTTCTAAATGAATGATGATGGGAGCAGCACATGTCTCTTCATTTAAATGAGTACTAATGAAGGTGGACCCAAAAAGTCTTTTCACTACGGATAATTGGAATGCTTAAATTAAATAGTTTTAAAAGAAAAGTATTTTGTTTTTTTGGGATAGACTAAAATAAGAAAATATGTCAATAAATTGGAAGAGGTGCAACTATTCTACAAGTGATTTATTGCAAAACGATTGAAATAAATTTACACAAGTATTTGATTTCCGACAGTTGTTTCTATTCCTATTTGTAGGCTAAGTAAGATGTGCTGAATTTACTAAAAATTGATCAGTTGACGATCAAAAAATGGATTAATGACAGAAAATTATTGGACGCAGAAATATTTACTCTCAATTAGTGTTTATTTTTTTTCTCAAGAGAAGAGTAAACGAAATTATGAATGCAAGACAAAGCCATTTATCGAAGAGCATAATAGCAGTCACATGGGAGTTTGTTAATGATGTTAACTTAATTTACACACAAACATAACTTCCAAAAACCTTAATTATGATCCCCAGATGCTCATCATCTTCATGTCATGCGTATTTACACGCCTATATATGTTTTTGACTCCTAAAATCCGCACTTTTTCAGACTCATTGACTTAATATAGTTCTTCTTTTTATCCTAGGATACCATTCTATTGATTGAAATATTACTGTATTATTTCTCTCTCTCTCTCTCAAGTTCCAAGGATTGAGGTCAATGAGTAGGGAAACACAATTATCTACCTTTGCTTGAAATTATCGCTAGCAGAAAAAGCCATGTCCCAATTAGTCGGACTCTCCACCTTAATTTTCATGGTATTTAGTCCAGAGGATTTTCTACAATCAACTCTGACTTCCCTTTCATTTTTCTCTTGATTTATCAGTTCTTCAGCAACTTCGGAGGATTTCTAGCTAATGCATGTTGAGAAAAGGTTTTTGTGAGTATCATCTCGACTATCTTACTTAAGCCTTTTTTTTTTAAAAGATAATGTTTTTGTTTTCAAATTTCAACTCTGAGGAGACTTGCATGCAAACTGATTGTTGGTAATTTAGCATAATATACTTTAGAAAAGGAACTGACACTGAGAGCCAGTTTCACGGTTTCACCGTTTCAGTATGTCAACATGTTGGAAAAGACCATCTCATAAGAGGTCTAAGAATGTGTTCATTTTTTTTGAGAAGAAGAAAAGGAAACACCTTTTGTTTGAGACGAAAGCTTTTACTGTTGGTGTTGTTGGTTTTTTTTTGTTTGTATAAATTCTATGCGTGCAATGTACTACCTCCGTTCTAGTTTACGTGAAATTATTTATTTTTTGGTCCGTTCCAAAAAGAATGATCCTTTTTAAATTTGGAAACAATTTTGCTTAAACTTACAATTCTATCCTTAATAAGAAACTTTTATAACCACACAAATACTACTGGATAAGTCTCACCTTCAAAGTTACGTATTATATTCTTGAGCTGGTGAACCGCAAATTAAGCCGGAAAAATAAATCATTGTTCTTTTCCCATTTTTTTTTAAAACCAAAGGCAGACTTAACCTATAAGCCAGTGGCGGAGCCAGAATTTTCGTTTAGGGGTGTCAAAATATATAAAAGTAAATATACCAGAAAATTAAGTAGAGTCAATACATAGTATATATATACATATAATTTATTTTTTTTACCTACCTACAGTATTTTTCCGCGAAGGGGTGTCATTTGACACTCCGCCATTGCTATAAGCAATGCATGTTTATATTTGCAAATGCTTTACCCATATATAGTTAAACTTTAACAAGGAAATAGGTCTACTTTTTCTTAGAACTTTTGAAATTGGTTTTATTTTTATTTTTTAGTTATATAGGGGTAGGAGAAGGGGAAACTGGCGAAGGAATTACACGGTGGGAAAACGAACCCTTACAAACAAGGTGAAATTTGGGTAGCAGAGCTAAGATTCCCCAAATTGGTATTTAATCAGCTCTAAAACATGCCTCTTTTTTATCTTCTAACGAGACAGGTTAGAGCCTAGAGGAATCCTGTAGGAGTATTTTGAGCTCTCATGCATTTTCATCAATGTCGTCTTTGTTCTTTGAAAGTACTTATGGGTTGTCCTTTTGACACCATATTGCCAAGTTCGTACTCATGCACTAATTAAGCCTTTTCTGACTTTAGGCATGGAACTCAACGGTCCAGTTTAATTTTTACCCTTTATTTGTGGACACAAAATTTTTCCTAAAGAAAGCCAAGAACTGAAATTGGAAATTAATCTCCCATTCAGGACCTTTTGGAGTTCCTTTAACTGGATGAATAAAGAACTACATCAACATGGCTAATGTTAGAATTCAACATGGATTTAGAGAGGTCAATCAAGTAGCCGACGCTCTAGCAAAATGGAGTATTGCAAAATCCAGATCATGTATTTACATCGGTCAATACTCTACCTCAAGTAACTAAGGGACCATACAGGTTGGATTTGATGCAAATGGCCTCTCTAAGACATAAGCATAGGAAAAACTGTTTTTTATAATAGGATGTCCTCATTTTGTTGAGTTACCTGTTGTTAATCCTTAGCAGGTTTTGTAAGTTTTTGTAACCTTTTTATAGAGAAGGTTAGTTCACATAAGGAGGTAAAGTAGGATAGCTGTTTTGGATGAATGAAAGGAATACGCCACCTATGGCGTAACTTTATTTAAAAAAAAAAAGGATAAATACCAATATAAAATAAATTCAAAAAATAAAACACAAATAGATATTATTAATCTAATATCACTGCATAATATAACATTTAAACACATTCGAAATATCACTGGTTTACATAACCAAAGCAATAACTATCATACCATAACATCGATAGCCATGCCTGATAAAATGCAAATGCTTTAATTACATCTCAAGCAGCTAATAAAGATGGCTTGCATATATAATTCACCTATTCTTTCATCACCAAGCAGTTAATTCATGTTCCCTTAACTTAATATTAGTAGAAGGGCCATTTATATAATTTTCTTAGTAGTATTATTATGTACAAATAATACTTGATATTTAGTCAACAAAGAACTGTACTTCCTATGATCAGTATTTACTTTGTCTTCATTAGGAGGATTTCGATTCACTTCCACATATCAATCTGAGAAGAGGAGGATGCCGTTGAAGTATTTTCCGTAGCTGCTTCTTGCTTGTTCAAATTTCTGACCATATTCAAATTTGAGTCATCGGTAGGAACATTTAAGGTATTTGCTGCATTTGAGTAATCATTTTCCTTGGAAACTTCCTCTTGGCTAAGTTGAGAAGCTACAAATTTGTCAAGCACTCGCCAATCCATCAATTGATCATCTCCAACTAGTTGATTAGTATTGGTACTAATATTGTTGTTGTTGTTTCCATACTGATGCACATGATTATTAACGTTAACGGCAAACACTGGCATTGAACTGCATGGAGGTGGTGGAGGAAATTTAGGACTTTCTAAAAGAGGAAGTTGAAGAAATTGCTGCTGGTGATGATGAGGAGGAGGTGGGATTTGGTAATGCAAATTATCTAGCTCTTTCTTGCAAGGGTAATTAGGATAGTGGTAAGTGAGGCTAGACTGAGAGTGCTGACGTTGCTTTGGTGAATCCATGAATGAGACTTGATCATGATCGTACCATATTGGTGACTCATGTTCACTTTCTTTCCTTATGGTTGCTATTCTCTTCTTGAACACTCGGCATACCACCCATCCTTCTTCCTGTGGTTGTTTTAAGAACAATCAATGAGTGGTTCAATTCAAGAAAGCGTTTAATTTTTATACATTTACACTAACTAGTACTCTATCCTTTTTCAATTTGTTTAAACCTTTTCGAGTACGAGGGTCACATTGACTATGTGAATTCTGGATTCTTTAACTTTTTTGAAATAAAGTTAGTACTATTTAGAAAGTCAAAGAAGATTTTCTTTGATCATATTTTTTGCAAACACTTTGCAAATATATTGTATTGCCGACTATATTGGGACTTATAATTTTTACGTAGTTCCTAAATATGTAAATTTTATTTTAAAAAATTTGAAAAATCTATGCCAGAATTTACACCAAAAGTCATATTTCGAACTACATCACATAAAGTGAAATGGAAAGAGTAATGCGCAAGGCCAAAAAATCATTTAATTTGGCTGAGTTATGGGTTTGATTTGCTTAGGAGGAGTTTGCATGAAAGATACGTAAAGGCATAATTAAGGTTTGCAATTATATACAAAATAGAATAATTAACTTGCCTGAGGGGCAGCATTTGGATCAGTCTCAAGTCGGTATTCATGCATAATCCAGTCAGATTTTTGACCATTTGGAGCCCTCCCTTTGTAAAACACCAATGTCTTCCTCATGCCAATCAAGTCATGCTTGGAATAAATAGCTTTGTCTCTTCCAGTTGCTTTCCAGAATCCTGCTGCTGTTGCTCTATTTGTTCTTGTACCTGTTGGATATTTTTTATCTTTGTGGCTGAAGAAGTACCATTCATTCTGTTCTTCTGTCCCTATTCTGCATACTTCTATATATATTCAAAGAATATCTCCCCGTTACATCATTTATATTTTGAGTATATATATGAGTTATCTTAATATTAATAGTAGTACGTACCTTGAAGATCCCATGGTTCAATCTTGTAGAGGTCCACGTCTTTGATAACATCTAGGTCAATCCTTCTGGAAGTAATTTTCTTCCTGAGGTAATAATCTACAAGTTCTTCATCAGTTGGGTGGAATCGAAATCCAGGAGGAACATGTGAAAACGAATTCATGATCTTGCAATCAAATATTTTATGACCTGTATATTCACAAGAATAAATGAATATCAACTTTCACTACTTACATTGAAAGCTTGGTAAGGACATCAAAATGCAGACTGAAAGTTTCTATCTACTTTTTCGATTTTCATATTTATTCCCAAATTATGAGATACTTAACATAGCACGAACAAATGCATCACTACCAATTAATGCTTGGACAAGTACAGAAGAGCTACAAGATTTGGAAGTCCACTATTTGTTTATTCAATTTGGGCAAGCAAATAATCACTTAAAATTAAGTTTAATTGCCGTTTCCACATGCTTTGTATATCTTTTGGATCGCAAAAGAGTTCTTGTTCTAGTAGAACCACTGACATATGCTGATGGGTGTGGGGTGGGAGGGCTGCAATTTGTGCTCTTTTTTTATTTATTTACCAAAATCGTGTAATAGGCCAATTAATAAAGACCTGCTAATGATATTTCACCAACAATTTTTTTTTTTACCGTTCCCTAGTTTTGCCGTACAAAATAGTATAACTTACTTCATTTATTAACTCTAAAGCGTAACCTTAATTCGTTTCTTTATGATTAATATCATGTTTAGCTTGCTAAAAAGAGGTAGGAGAAGAGAAATTAAGTGTTGAAGAAAAAGGATGTTCTTGGTTCGATTCAGCAATCAAATTGATATTCTCCCCATCAACTCTTAGCTTCCACCCTACAAAAATTTCATAAAAACTACATATACATAATGAGAAAGACAAATACTTCACCTAGAAGAGGCAAAATCAATAACATTGTATTATTCATCTTTTGAACCACACAACATGATACATGTCGTAAGAACACAAGAACTGTAAGCCTAAAGAAATTATAGGCTCAAAAAACTTTCTGAACTCTATAAATGCCAAAGATGGTTTAACTCATGATTTAAGTGTTCCTGCATAAGGCTGAAGCACCTAGGGCTGTTTTTCAATGAAGTGTTTACAAAAGAAGTGGTCTAGGGTACATAACACATTTTCATCAACGCATCTTTTAGGACTGGATGTGTTTAATTTTGTTAAATGAGGTGCCTAATTAATAGTTTCCTAAAATATTAGGGAAGTAGACATTTACTCTCTTTATTAAAACCTTTGGGTGGATATGGATATTTTTTTCCTTCAATATTTCCCTCATAGATCACTTTATCCTTTTGATTTCTCGGACAATTTTGAACAAACTTTGATCAAAGTGCAATGTTGTTATTCTCAGGATCTACTTGCATATATCATCAGCAAGTTGAAATGAAAAATCGATTAGCTTAACAGATTCAATTAATTTCTAGCAAATATTACTCAGATCAAGGACCGTTTTACCTAATCACATCGGACTGCATAGTGCTTGGACAGCACATTCCAACGTCCAACAAAGACAAGAAACAAGCTGATAATGGAGAACAACATTGATAAAAGTGAAAAATAAGACAGAAAATTAGATAGTTATTGGCAAAGAAATTCTAATTCCTGCAAATTTGACACAAGGAGCGCATGCTTGAAATAGATTAATTATTTTCATGGACTAATGCTTTGATTGTTGACATCTAGTCTATGCCTCTTAAGGATGGTTATAATTTAATCCATGAAATGAAACAGTATCTGCATTTAGGGAATTTCAGGTCGCAATTACTATCCTTTGACTTTATTTTACGTATAGGTTAGAAAAAGAATAGTAAGAAAGATAAATCTTTGTAGCACGGTACATAAATTGGATTAATGATTTTAAAGGATAATTTTAGGATCAAACTTTTTCGGAAGGGGGGATTACAGAAGGAGGGTCTTCAACTAAATCTCTTTTTCCTGCGTACCAACGCCTCTTGTCACTCCTAATTAACCAAAGAGAAATCAAGGTTTAATATAGTTATTATTGTTTACCCGTCTCTAAATAGATTATTGCGAAGCATATGATAGTGTTGGAGTGACAATAATAATGTCTGTCATCATTTAGCACGTAATATCAGCGGAGACGCATGAAAATGAAAGAAATCACCAAGAATGAGTGCTATTCTTATTACAAGATCAATTACTGGTTATTACTTGAAGAAAAACCAACAAACACATTTAATTACTTATGACTCATAAGCATATAGATTTTGTTCAAATCAAGCATAAAGAGAGAAAGTGGAAGATCTCACAGATAGATCAAACCTTAGTTTCCAAGTGCACAGATCTGAGCAAAGTCAATTTTGAGCAGAGAAGAATAGGGTTTTATTCTTTTCTGCGGTCAGAAAGTAAGCTCTCCAAGTCAAGAGAAGGGTCCAAGAACTGGTAAAAGACAAGAGACAAGACAGGACAAAAAGACTAAACTAGGAAAAAGGAAGAGTTCAAAGTTCGATCCTCGGGAATTGTAGAACTCGTAGTGGTCTCTCGGACCAGATCCCGAGGAGAGGAAAGCTAAGAAGATGACAAATGAACAAAATGGAAAAGGGCTGAAGGGAATGGAAAAACGATGAACTAATAGGGTTATATAAAGCCACCCCCCACCCAACAAAAAGAAAAAAAGAGAGAAAAAAAAGCCCTAATGATGAAGGATAATGTAATAGAGTAGTAACTAGTGACAAGAGCTCAAAATTTAATTGATCATATATGTTGTCATTTTTCTGTTTCTCTATTTTTTCTTTTTTTCTTCCAACTTGGTGTTCGATATCTGTTTTGAGGCTGGACTAATCCTATTTCGAGCATAGAAATTTCTTTTTAGGGGTAAACGCTCCCTACAAAAAATAATATCATATCCATAACTCGAAAAATCAAACCTGAAGCTCTGATTAAGGACAAAAAAATATTTATCACTCCACCGTAACCTTTAATAGTCATTTTCTTTTTCTCTCACTTAGCAGAATTGTTGGGAAAGCTTTTGGGCGCCAAAAAAGGTGGCCAAAAATTGGCACACAGCGTGTGGGCAACTGCTATCTCCACTCACCCACCATTGATAATGACTTTCTTATATTTTTCCTTTTCTTTTCTTGGTTGTTTTTAGTTATAGTCATAGAGAGAATAACATGGAAGAGAATATTTTGTTTCTGTTTGAATGTCTAAAAAAGAGAGGAGATAATGAAAACAGTTCTATGATAAAGAAAGGAGGGTAAACCGGGGATGTCAAAGAGAGTAATGGCACCAGGCCAATCAGCTTAATTGAATTTGCACAGATGATCTCCCGTAAGACCCTACAAAAAGGAATCTTATTGAAATTGATTAATTCAATATATGCGAGTAATAAAGTTTTATCTTGGTTTTGTTCTTTTACAGTGGTGACGTAATGGAACAAGATCTTCAGGGAAAAGAATTTTAGGATTGGACAATATTCTTCTCATGTCTAAAAGAGGTAAAGAAAAGGCGGCTCAAACAAGTCAAGCCATGGTCATTCTCCCTAGTCCCTACCCTTTCTTGTTCCTTACTGAAAATACTGCTACTTGGGACCAGCTGAACCAACGAGCTAACATTCATTTTCCAACCAACATCGGGTACTTGCATTGGGATCTAACTAACTCTAATTAATTCACGTAGGGAAAGTCTCACATTTAGGGGAAAAAATGATCCCTAATATATTTGATTCCATACCTATGATTCCAACCGAGACCTCTAGTTAAAAAATAAGAAATACTTACCATTTCACCCAAATTCCAATTTGTTGGACCTCTTGTTCTCACTAAAGACATTTCATGACTACGAGGCATCATTTCACAGCAGTAACAAAAGAACGTGCATTTTCACTATGTCCGAATTTGCTTTACTTTTCTCTTTCATTTCTCTTTTCTTCACCTTTTAGGTTCTCTCGTGGATGGGGTTTTGTAACTGAATGCTAAAAGTTTGGACCTTTACTTGATAAGGTGAGGATTGATTTAAGTTGTATGAACAAAGCGGCAATGATTCGACTTAATAACCGATAGAGAATCATAACGATGGGAGTTCTGTTAATTATAGACTCCAAGTTTGAAGTTAAGCACCTCAACTAATTTACTAATGAATTCCACCTGCTAAAGAAACCAGCTTAAGCTAAAATTATTAAAGTGTACCAATAAAAACAAAATTGCAAGTCTCTCTAGATTGTTTACGAATCTTTTTAAGGATTCCAATATTCTGTTGGTATATATACAGTTAAAAGCAGAAGAAGAGGGAAGAAATAAGCAGGAGTAGATATTTGGTTTCAAGTTGAATTACCATATCAATCAAATAATATAAATGTACGAGACATGATTGAAGTGTGGCAGTTTTTGTTGTTGCCCGTGACTAATACGCTTCCTACACCACCACCGACTGTCATCATTATACAGCTCTCTCTATATGGCTACTAATTATATACTTATATATGTAAACCTACACTGTTTCAGCTGATGGAGAGTCATGAAACGGAGCTTGAAGCCCGTTCCAACAGTTTGTAATTTGGCTGTTCCGTTGCCTATATATGTACCTAAACTTATTGCCCTCATGACTATGGTATTGACCAAAAAAAATCACAAAGACATTAATCAAGTCAGAGAATTCCTTCTTGATCAGGTGAAGTTCTTGCGTTTAAAAATCTGAAATCATAAAGAACAAGTCTGGAGGTATTTGGTATAGTTCAAAATGTTTTACATAGAAAATAATTTGTGGCTAAGTTTTACATGATATGGATGATACATTGAGAATAATGTTCTAGGGATACTTTTAATTTCTCTAAGTTAACAACAATATCTAAGTATTGATTGAAGTATAATCGAGTAAAATTTAATACTATCAGTAAAAATACGATGCATACTCATAAGTAGCAAAAATCTTCTTCTTCCTTTTACGGGAAAACAACGAAAACACATCCAAGAAATAATTCAAAAAGAAAAAGATATTGGCCAGTTGAAGCCAAGCAAATAATGCGCCGGCTTGAGGTGGTAGTAAGTTTAGCCGAGAAGAAAAGGGGTAATTGACAATTGGGTGGAAAGCGGGACCCAGGGAAGGAGAAATGATGGGGGTGTTTGGAGCCCGTTCACGTTGCGGCTCTACAGGGTCTAGCGTGGGCTAGCCAGCATCATTAAGCTCACTACTCCTCTGGCTCACCTTCTGCCTTTGCGGGTCCCCGTCCCGTTATTCCACCAAAATATATCACACGTTCCAATTTTGTTTACGTTCCTATTTCTTCTCCATTGTTATTCTTGTTTGACCAAAAATATGGATTTTAGTTCTAATAATTAAATTTATATAAATGAGAGTTAATTTTAGCTAACAATAATATTTCTAAGATAAAGTTCTTAAAAGAGCATAAACACTGTGCAGATATAGTCGGACAATGACGATAGCATGCAATAAATATTCCAGAAATCAAAGACAATAATGTATCATTCAATATCAATGAATATCAATAAATGACATTTCAGTAAATAGAATGAATGAGTCACCCAAGAAAGGATGAAATAAGTGAATGTTCTTTCTGACAACGATGAATGATGGACAACCCCTTGAATATTTGAGTTAATCTCGAATTTGGTGGAAAAGTATAGACAAGAATCTCAGTGAAAAGGTAATGTTTGTATCATAGCAGTGAGACCCGATTCTCTTTCTCAAGTCAAAATTTATTTTTACAAATGAATATCACATGTCCCCTATCACTGTGTCTTTTTCTATTTATAGGGAACATACTCCTAAGAAACTCTAATAGTACAAGTGCAGAGAATATCCACTAGAATATTCTCTTTAATATCCTATCTTGAAACTAGCCATTATAACTGTCAAAGGTACTCGGCCTCGACCCTTGTTGACACCTTGACTTCAGCCCTTGTTGACTCTTCGACCACAGACTTCGCCGCATCTTGGGCCATTTCGACAAACGACGACTTGGAAACACTTCCCCTACTACTATCTTGGATTAAATATTCTAAAGATAGATTTTGACCCATACAGTTAGTCCCTCAACTTATTGAGGCCGGCTTGAGGCGGATTGGATGAGCAGATATTGTTCTTTGTGGTCAAAATAATCGAGTGTGCTATGCAGGTCGTGGTGGTTGTGGCAAACTGGCAGCGTGGCCCTATGTGGGCCATATATTTCAAATGCTTCGATTTTCCCGGGCGATTTGCTGGAATTATGTTGTCCACGAGTTAGGATGACGTCATGACGTCATGCGTCATTATGACGCATATTCCTGATGTGTTACTTCATTTAGCGTGTGACCTCTGATTAAACATGTCGCTTCGATTTTGACGCCAGTTATAATGAACCATTTTCAGTTCTGGTGCCTAGACCTTTTTAAATAGAGGTATTTGGATGTGATTTTGAGGTTTAAGTTTTCTGTTGTTTCGAAACCCCATATTTTTCTCTTACTCTCCTCTTGCTTCGAACTTCCCTTCTTTGTTCCAGTGATTTGTATTGTTCTTAACTCTTTCTCGTTTGATACCTCTATTTCCTATATTATACTATGTCTAACGTATCTTCTGAGTCTGGTGAGGGAAGTCATGTGGCCCCTTTGGCAGTGGTGTTTCCCCTATTAGGAAAGTGTTCCTGCCACCGTTGAGGATGGAACCTTCCCGTCTGTGGGAGAGATAATTCTATGGAATACTGATTCCAGATCCGATTTCACCAAATCACCTGATACTGAACCTGGAGCCTTTCGGTCAGTGATGACAGTGAAGGAGTTAAAAGAGCTTAAGTCTAAGTTTGGCCTTCCCAATCACATTGAGTTAATCCCGATTGGGTGGGATACAGTGCAGGTCCACCGTCCTGGCTATTACGCCTTCTACGCCTACACTTTTCCAAGTTGGCTATTCCCTTACTCTCCTACCGTTGACCGAGGAGTTCTGTCGTTATTTCGATGTTTGCTCAGCTCACCTCGCGCTGTACGATTATAAGCTTATAAAGATGCTTACCAAATTTGTCGAGCTAGCCGGGGTCGTGTTGACACTTCGACACTTAATACTTCTATTCGCCCCTAGCTTTTATAGGGTATCGATGTTGAATCTTCGCCACCGAGGGGGAAGGTTCTTGGTGGTGAATATGGACGACAAAACCAACCGTCAATTCTGGTTTAACTTCATTTTTGTCAGAACCAAGGATATGGTGGTCAATGTCGATGGTTTTCCTCAGGCTTGAAATTATACTCGTAAGTACCTAATTTCCCTGCTTGTAGGTATTTGAATTTTCTCCTGTGCTTGGTCGTGGGTTTTGACCTTTTGTATTCTTCTTATGCAGCCAAAACCTCGCCTCATCCTTTGGTCGCTCACATTTCTGACTGGGTCGATCAACTCCTCCCTCATATCGTAGGGATTCGTGAATGGCCAAGCTTTTTCAAGAAGTTTGGGCATGTTCTCCCTTCGACTGGTAAGTTTCTTTTACCATTGGTTTCATAGCTTTTTTTTTTATTTACCTTTGCTGATCTTTCCCTTTCCTTGTGTTTTCATATCTTCGGCCAGGAGATCTTCGAGGAGGTCGAGAGCTCCCACACCCTCATTCTGGAAGAGGAAAGCTACTACGTCTTCGACTCCCGCCCCTTCTTCGACTGCGACTAATCT